CTACACAGAAAATGACTACTGACTAGCAAGTTTATATTGAAGCTTCAGACATTTAGTCATTAATTATGTAAGTCTATATTTTATTGCTTTAATAATAAATATCATATACAAAAAATTATTATAATTAATTGAATATATAGGGATACAGGTAAAGCAGGTTTTAGTTAAAAAAAAGTTAGTCAATTTCTGAATACTTACTTAAAATTATGAGAAGAGGTCCATTGAACCGTCTTGAAGTTGTGGCGTTGCTCGCTGTAAAATGGAATGTTAAACTTAGTGTAATTGTAATAGCATGGGTCCAAAATAATAAAGTAATTAAAAAAATGTCCCACTTGTTTTTTTAGCAGGGATAAATTTACTGTTTATTACAAAGATTGATTTGTACTTTAATACTGAGAAAAATACAATCAAAACATACAAAATTATACATCATTAAATTCCCTAAATTAATAAACACACAAATGTTTTTGAAAAATCACTTATAATACATTGACAAAATTCTTACGTTAGCTTTTCTTCTAACAAGACCTGGAGCATGTTTAAGTGTCTCTGCAATTTGGCTTTCAGCATCCATGCTGGTAGTCCCAGGTTGTGATTTCATTATTGCTCCTATATTATTTACAAGTAACATTTTTAGAGATATACAATACTGTACATGTGAAAAACAAGGTACTAATCTCCTTTAAAAGTATTTGTCTTAACCCTATGTCCTTCACACTGAACATCCATATTTGGTGTGCTGCAGAAATCTAAAAAATATTATTAAAAACATTGTTTTATTAACATCAGTTATTAGATGGCTTTCAGCTTGTAGAAATAAAAAACATATTAAAAAATAAATAATAAAATAAAGAAACATTAAATCATTGCCTAAATGTTGTGGCATCATTGAACAGGTACTATCTGTATACGAAGCTGATCTAGCAACTCTGGCCTCCTCTGGCAATTCTGGATTAATGACACAATGACCTTGCAATTACTTAGAATATATACTTATATAGTGTCAATTTGCTTGTCTAAATTTGCTTATCTATAATAACTTGTTATTTAATCTATTATCCTTACTATAAAATCCAGCTCTTGGAAATCTGTCACGTCCCTCACATGTCCATGAAGGCTCAGATTCTGAAAATAATGTACAGAATCACATTGTTAATGATAACACTGTCATAGACAAATGGCCAGAATGTTTGTGTAGAATAGTGGTATGAACATTACACACACCATATCACAGATTATAACATAATAAACATCTACAGCTTTATAAATCATTGACTTTTACCTGTACTTTTTATTAAGTTTCTTCTTTTTTCTATTCTTTTTGGGGGGGATGGCAGTGTTGGTTTTTTTGCTTGTGGTATATTGTTGATATCACCTAAACATCAATTTTATTCAATGTAATTATGTGTAATTTAATTATTTTTTTACCTGGAAAAATGAAAAATAAATTCATATACGTACTGTCTTCTATATCGGTGATGTCACTATCTGACTCTAAAAGCCGTAAAGGTGGTCTCTTTAGCCTGGTTTGCTTTTTTCCAGAGATGGAAGCATCAGAAAGTTCAGGGCATGACGTATTTTGAGCTTTAATCATGAGCTTTTGTGCTGTAATGTAGTCAACTAAAGAAAAAAAAAACATTATTGGGAACAAAAGGTAAAATATTTATAAAGCATTATGAAGAAAAAAAAATACTGAGTAAAATGATCATTGTAAAAATGATTGATAATTACTGAAAATGGATAAGAATTCAAATTTCAGCTATTAGTGTTACTGCCTTTATCTCCGATCCTCATTAATATAAAACAGACAATACAATTTATTGACATACCTGATGATTTGAAAACTCTATGGACTTGCAATCTGATCCATCTGATTTTATCAGGTAAGGACCTTTTTCTCACAAGAGATTGTGCATTGTTGGGTGGCCAATAACAATAGATGTCCTGGGAAAGTATTAATATAAATATTAATACAGCTACCAACATGCAATACAAAGTACCTTATATTTACAGACCACTGCAAACATCACACCTGCTGTTTATCTATTTTGGTACTTAAATTAGAAGTTAATTAGCACTCTTTTTGGTATTTACTTTTCTCTAAATACAAGATGTGCATGACGTGTGTTTACAATTATAAACATATTTTCCACATTATGGACATACTGCGTTTTAGTTAACATAATTGCATTTAATACGGTGGTATAGTAGAGTAGTATACTCCTTACCTCATCTAATTCTTCTTTCCATACATCTGGAATTACAGCAACACTGTGGTCTGAGGTAAATTCAACAACTGAAAACATTCTGAAAGACAAGTTACTTGAGTCATTTGAAAACAACAGTAAGTGGTTAAACAATAGAGTTTAATGCAACTTACACATAATTAAAATCCACAAATTATCAATAGGAGAATTTGCTGATGATGTGTAGTCATGATTGTGAAGGAGAGCTCTTTAGTCATGATTATAAAGGAGAACTGATTAGCCATGTTTGTGAAGGAGAGTCAGGTAGACCACCCTTTGCTCCTGGTCAATCTTTATTGCTCTTTTACTCTGACTGACTTTTTCTTTTGGGATCATTTGTTGAAGAGTGTTCTTTTGGCAAAAATATGCTCCAATTATTGATGATTCACAGGGCACCGTAAACAGGGGAGATGGATGGAGAAAAATTCTACACAGGTATTCATCCTTATTTTTATCAATGACCTCACAACATTTGCCATCTTCCAAAATAATGCAGTTGTCTGGTTGTCTAAAAGAAATGACATTGCCTCTTTGAACACTTTGTAAGGTTGTATCATCTTGGACTTCTTTGATCCTTTTCACAATTTGCACAAGAGGGCTCTTTCCTGAGCGCACCATTCTCTTCAACTTCTGCATGTGATTCTCAAACGGAAAAGCACTGCATTCATCCAGACAACCATAAGTCTTTGCATCAGATGCAAGGTGAAGCATTGAATGCACATTGTACACCAAGAATGATGATCCATACAGCTCTCTGCCCCTAGCTACAAAGTACTGTAGCAATTTGTGTGCATATGAAACATGTTGACTGACCAAGGAGGGGCAGAGTAAGATGGAAATAGCAACACTAAATGTCAGGAAGTGTTCATAAAGGTCTTGCCGCAGAATCCCTGATAAAACCAACTTTCCAGTGTAAACTAGGAACTGTCTAAGCTCTGTTGCTTTCCACCTTTCCAGGTGTCTCAAACTTCGTGGTTTTCGAGCAAAGCATGAAGGAATGCATTTTTGTAGATTGATAAGTCTTGCACTCACCACCTCTACTTGACCAGCAGACATCTTTGTCTGTATGCTCCGTCCTTTTTCTCCTCTTGACCAAATTGTTAACAATTTTTTCATAACACCAAGACATGCCTGGTGCATATAATCAATTGGAAACTGGCCAATCATATCAATAGGTAACTCAGCAAATGGTGTTGTTCCATTATGGTGTTCTGGTTGTTTTTGAACTCGAAATGAACAATCTGTTCTTAATTCAAAAGCATCAACTTCTTGATATGTCATCCTTTTTTCCCAGAATCCCTTTTGCTCACATCTATCACAACCATAATAAGCAGAAAATTGCTTGATGCTTTTTACCATTGCTTTAGCTGGTGCATCACATACAATACATCTCAGCTTAACTTGAATGAGATTTCCATCAAAAGTTAGACTACTTTCAAACAATTGTTTGAGTTCTGTTACAGCATCTTCCAGAAATTTAAGATCTAGAGGTCTTTGGGGTCCCAACGTCAGTGTTACAGGAAATACAGTCACTGGTTCAAGATGGATACAGCACAACACAGGCCATAGTGATAATGATGTACTTTTAAAAAGTGGAAGTCCATCAACGTTGAATGAAATCTCAAGAACATGTATTGTGGAAGTAATCTCAGAAGGATATCTTTTTAATGCTTTCTTAATTTGTTCAGCCAATGACAGATGTATGTACTGCATTCCAGATTTAATCTGAACATCAACTGCTCGCTCTGTCTTCAAAAGTGTGCGTGCTGTCATGGGCAATGTGTGATGCCCCTGTGAACGTAATACTTTTAGGAGGTCGTCCATAGCACACTGCCGAATATGGTGTTTGTTGGTCCATGCAATGAGGTCATCTGTCAAAGTATTTGTTTCAACATCTTCTTCGGAAAGTGACAAATACATGTCATGATCAGAAGAGAAATCAGTCCTTTCATCTGTCCTGAGCGTGTCCTCTTCGTTTAAGGATACATTTTCACTCTCTCTTGAAAAAGAAACTGTGCTGCACTCTGAAATTGATATTGATGAATACTGCTGTACATAGTTTTGAGGTTTAGAACTAATGTATTCATCATTTACATAAGTTTGTGATTTTTGTTGACTACTTGAAAGAATATTGTTGGCTTTTCTCCAGTGTCTTATATATTCCCTCCTAGCAACTCGTCTTTTGTTTTCCATTCTTAAACAAACAAACAAACAAAAAATCATGTAATTTTACTAGACACACATTACTTTTTTAGATTTAAAAAAATTAAAAATAGCCTGAAAAAAGTGTATTTTAAATTCAAACATTTAAATCAAAAGGGCAATTTAGACTAGCAGATCTTTTAATTAATTTTAATATTAGCATTTTAACATCAACTTATATAATTTAAGATTTTACTTTTTTTTACTTTTATATACTGATGTTAATTAAACTGACAATTCTGTCACTATTTAGCCTCATCCTTTACTTATTACAAACTTACTTGGCTTTTTTTCTGTTAAACGAAAAAGATTTATTGAATAAAACTGTAAAACTGTAACTATTGACTTCCATGGTACTTTTTGTACTATGGAAGCAGGTTACAGTTTTCAGATTTTTTCTTTCAAAGACTGTCTTTAGTGTTCAACAGAATAAAGAAACATAAAGGTTTGGAATCACTTGAAGGGTACATAATTCGTGAGAACATTTTCATTTTTGAGTGACCTGTCTCTTTAACGGACGCAAGGTGGAGTTTTGTATATTTACGTTAAGTCTGCTCGTTTTGTAAACGGTGGGTCAGCTGTGATCGTGTGACCTACTTGAAGTACTCGTAACTGACTGATCACGATGAATATGGAAAAAAAACGGAACTTTAAAAGACATTATCCTTTCGACTATAAAGACAAGGAGTAGGTAAAGTATCATGAAATGTTTTATCCAGAGATTTAACAACGGTTTTAATGTTGTCGCTGTCCGTGCACGGAGTGCTGAAAATGTTAACTCATGATACTCGCTCGTATTCATATATATGTGTGTGTCTTATTATTTCAATGTAATGTTGGAACAGATTTTTGCCTCATTGAAACGGAAAGTGTTGGTTTGTTGTAATATTCACATATCTTAAGATTTAGCAATACTCACGTCTCCTCGGTCGTTGATGAATGAAACGACCAACGGTCTGTTAAAATTTAAACTGGTTCAGTGATGACGAGTAATTACAATGTTGTACAGCGGTCGCCCACACCACTTAAAGCAGCGCTCTCATGTGATGTTTAAATGGCAACATTATGACATCGTTGTAACAACCTTCAGCAACAACGCTGAATCCTCAACCTTTTTGCAAGGTTGGTGCAACGTTGTAGGAAGGTCGCTACGTTGAGGCAACGTTGTGTGTTTGTTGGGATGGGGTCCAACCTGGTACTAGTAGGGTGTACCTAATAAATGTTTAACGTATGTGAACATCAACACTGACACCTGCTGGACATGATGGCGGATTAAAGTAAATACAGTGTAGAACCGTCCCACTAATGTTGCCCACAAATTTGATTAAAGCTACAAACGCAGGTATTTAAAAAAAGTGTAAACAAACAAACATGGCGGACGCGCGACACCAACTGTCAAGCTTTGGTAAAGTTGTTTGTATGACTATTATTGATCTAGCCACCTGGATATGTTTAAATCACATTTTCCGTGTTATATTTACTCTGCAGCAACAATGTGAAATTTTATAAAGGTAAAAGTCTAGAAGCAATAGAACAGTTTGACGAAGAGTAAGCTTATCTAGAAGGGATACAGCTGCGGATACTAGCATAATTTAAGTGACACTACAACAAAAATAAATTAATAAAAACAAGAATTATTAAATACTAAGAGGGCTGGGTTTAGGGTTGGGGTAATAGTAGACGTTAATAAAATACAATTTAGTGATGATTTTAATAAATAATATGAATAATACTTGGCATAGTTACTGTTTTTACATTACTGCGAGGATTAGGGTAGGGGTAGACGTTTATAAAATACAACCTAATGGGTGATGTATTAAATAACATAAATATTCTTGTTAACTTCTGGCCGCAGCTGTATCTCTTCTATCAAAGACCTCTTCGGTTAAACAGTCAAACGTATGTAATTTTTATTCACACAAAAAAGTACATACTTCTAGGATGTGGTATAAGTAGGCGAATTGGGACGCATCGTGAGTTTTGTGTGTTAATTAATTATTTAAATTATTTATTTATTTACTGCCCGTGCAATGTGGGGGCATTCCTGCAGGGGGCGTCACCACCGCTGCCCTCTGACGAAATTATCGGGAATTGTGGGATGTTTACAGGAAGACGAGGATCTTCATCTTCATCGGTCAGAAATCAGTGAACAACCGACTAGTTTTATCTTCCTCAGGTGAGTTTAGTGATCAAACCTCTGTTTTTATTCATCTCGGTGGTTCACTTCACCTTGCGGTTCACCTGAAGAGAAAACGGAAGTAAACTTTACTCGGTTTTCTCCCTTTTGTTCTCCAACATTATTGTTTTGCTACTGTAAGTTAACTGTTAACGTTACATGTTCTGAAATTAGCTTTACGTTAATCGTTGTGATAGTCATGTTACTTTAAGAGCACGATGTCATGTATGCTATTGGAGGTTGATTCTTTTCCTCACATTTAACGTATTTTTGACGTTTTGTAAACGTCAAAATACGTTAAATGTGAGGAAAAAATACGAATAAACCTCTAATAACACACACAACACCGCGAAATACTCATCATAACATTACTATCTCAGTGATTAAATCGATTTTATAACGTATATTTAACGTTACAATGGCAAAACAGTGTATTTTGTCTGACTTTCATCACAAACGTCAAAATACGTTAAATGTGAGGGAAAATACGAATAAACCTCCAATAACACACCGCGAATTACTCATACTAACATTACTATCCCAGTGATTAAATCGACTTTATTACGAATATTAACAATAACAAAACAACAATGGAAGTAATCCGACGTGACTGACCAAAGTAACAAAAAAAAACATTAGTTTTGCCATTGTAACTATAAATATACGTTATAAAATCGATTTAATCACTGTAATAGTCATGTTACTATGAGTATCTCACGGCGTTTTGTGTGTTATTATTAGAGGTTTATTTGTATTTTCCGTCATATATTATTGACGTTTGTGATGAAATTTAAGTCTGGATATTTACGTTGTTGTTTTGGTATTGTAAATATACGTTATAAAACTGTGACAGTCATGTTACTTCGAGTATTTCACGGTGTTGTGTGTGTAATCACACAGTTTGAATTGTTTTTTACATTTATTTTTGACGTTATTGTGAGGAAAGTCTCGTCTGGAAATGTAGAAATGGCGATTTTGAGGCCCATGAGGCAAAAATATTTTTAAGTTTCACTTTCCATGTTTCAACACTTCCATTTAATAATATCTTGAGCAAAAAGGGAAACTTCGAATTGACATAAAAAGATATATGAGCAATTCCAGCGGTATGGATGTGACATTTGCACAACATAAACATAAATTATATATACAAAGTTTATGTTAGCATTATATTATTAAACATTTGTTTATATTTTCCAAAGCTACTACTCAACACAGAGTTATGGCAGCAGAAAAATATGAATCTCTGAACATTTTTTAGATTTTAAATGAGGAAAACAAACATTCGTTACCGATGTGACGAAAAAACTATGCAAGTTTGCCATATACAACATACTTTGTAGAAACTCTATGAATTAAACTGCACAACCCAAAAGAAATAATGCCAATCAAAAGAATAAAATATGTCTATCTATAGAAAAACATTAATGACATTATTTTCAGTGACATCTCTCAGTTATGGATGTGACAGATGTGAAATTGCCACTCGTGTGATTTTGGTAAATCAAATATAATACTTTGAAAACATTAATAGAGATATTTTTGAGTATATTTAAAGCACTGTTAAATGCTTGCACAAAAAAAAAGTGCAAAAACGGTTTCACTATTTTGGCAAAAACCATATCTACATGGCAAGGTTAACATTTGTATGGAATTGCTCATATATATATATGGCTGATTCCAGCGTTATGGATGTGACATTTGCAGTAAAAATTCAAAACATAAATTCGCAGAGAAAGTATACGTTAACATTATATTGAATCATCTGTTTATATTTTCCAAAACAACTAACCACAGAGTTATGGGATCAAAAAAATTCAATCTGTGAACATTTTTATACTTTAAATGAGGAAAATAAACAAGCGTTATGGATGTGACAAAAAAAGTCTTCGAGTTTACAGTATACAACTTATTTCGTAGAAATTCTGTGAATTAAACTGCTCAACCCAAAATAAATAATGCTCAACTAAAGAATAAGAGTTGGCTCTTTATAGAACAAAACTGATTGATTTTAGTTTATTTTGACATTTTTGCATTTTTGAGGGAAAAGCTTTGTTATGGATCTGACACTTTTTCGTTATGGATGTGACGGATGTGAAATTGCCTTTTCTTTGACTTTGGTAAATCAAATATAATAGTTTGAAAACATTGACAGACACATTTTTAAGTATTTTTAAAGTATGTGTAAAACACTTGCCTGCGCAAAAAATGTAGAAACGGTTTCGCTATTTTGGTGAAAACATTTTTCTTTTCATGGCAAGGTTGACATTTTCATGGAATTGCTCATATATATATATATATATATATATATATATATATATATATATATATACACACACACACACACACACACACACACACACAAACACACACACACACATATACATATATATATACACACACACACACACATATACATACATATTTATTTATATACATATAATTATTTGTTCGAAATGTAGCACTATTGTGAACCACTTTAACAGTTCAAATGGTCAGTTTTACATTTTAATGTGTATTTTGTAGATGTGATGTGAAAGTAAAATACTCCAGTCTTCAATGTCACATAATCCTTCAGAAATCACTCTACATACTAATCTGTAAACAGTGCTGATTCATCGTGTTGTGGAAACACTACCAGATGTAATTTTATCCAACAAGAAAGCATCAAATTTCATTTAAAAGACAGTTGTAAGTAGGGTTGGGTATCTGTGGGGTTATTTCGATACCGGTGCTAAATCAGTACTTTTAAAAAGGTACCGGTGCCTGAACCGATACTTTTGAGCCCAGCGCCGTTGCTACTTCTAATAGGATTATAAAAGGTTTCAAATGGTTTAATAATAAATAAAGGGATTTAAAGTTGACAGTCTTTTAACAATAAATTGTTAAGCTTTATGACTTATAACACCAAAATAGGAAAAAACATTGATAAATTAACCCACTTATCATTTACTAGTCTGTTATGAGCCATATCATACCTCTTAAGCCTCCTATCTCCTCCTGATGTGCGGTTTCTGTTTGTTTTTTTAAAATGTCATTTTCTGCATGTCTTCAAGCTGAAAATATCTGAAATCTGAAAATATGATTTAGTCTATGGTGTGAGTTGTTATCCAGTGTGATACAAAGCTACAAATGTTCATTAGACTGAGTGATTCACTGAGGTGTAGTGTTGTCAAGATACTGGAATTTCTAACTTCAAAACCTTGCAAAATATTGATATTCGGTAGGCTATTATTTTTGATATTATAACAATTGTATCAAAACAGTATAAAAAAAATTAAAATAAAGATCTATATGCTTATTTCTTTAGAGGGAGATTTTTTGTTCAGTTTTCCCTTAAAATAGGTTGATGTGGGCGTTGCAGCACTTTAAATGCATGTAATGCCTGTTTCCTTCACACTTGAGCAGAAATTCCATATATGGCTCACAAAATAGCAGAACATTCCAGGAAATCCCTAATATGGATGAAGGCATCCAGCTGTTGCTGTAGTTGAATGAAAATAAGATCTGAATAAACATAAAAAGGCTTTAACTGATCATTTACACCACTGTGGCAATAAATTTAGTGTATATGTGTTCTTCCAGCCATCTTAGGTATTTTCATAAGAAAGTCAATTTATAATCCGATGCTAACTGACAGCATGTTACAGTAATATATAGCTATAAAATAATAAGCTAGATGCATTAACTCACTGTGATTTAACTATTACAGAAACAGATGTGACTGGCTATATCATATCTAGATAAATATGTCTATATCTATATCATATATCTAGAAAGCTAGTACAATATACGCTTTCTGACTAGTTTGCATGTATTTACATTTATATGACGCACATTTGATTACAGTTATTTTATTTCACCAAAACTACACACATTTTATACTGTAAAAACAAATATTGAGCTACATCAGTAGTTAGAACTATTCAGTTTGGCGAAACTGTTGTATAAGTACGTCATCTGCTTCAGTTCCTCAAAGTACTGAATGAATGATGACAGTGCAGTGGCGGGATTTTTTTTAACACCATGTGACAACAGTGCCACTCCCACCTGCTGGTAGAAACAGGTACTGCTGAACAGCTGACTATTTAATTATTCGACACAAACACTGCGTTAAGTGGAGCACGTGATGTATGTGGTAATTTTAAGGACTTGGATACCAAAATAAATATTATACAACCGATTTTTACTGAAGTGCAACATATTCCAAAAGATCAGGGGCTTTTGACAATACATCAGGCAAGGGCTTAAGCCCCCAAAATGCCCCCCCTCGCAACGCCACTGTTTGAGCCACAAAATCATTTGACAAAAATATTTTAATTGAACAGTATAATTAAAGTTTAAAGTATGAATCCATTTGTATTTTATACATATACAACTGCAGATCAGTTTCACTTTCATTCAGCAACATATTGTTCATGTCTCATGACAAACTGAGGTATTGGGTGAGAATATGAAGTAAGGACTGCTGGTAGAGTGATGTTTTAATGGAAATTAAATGGTAAATTTATTGGCATTGATTACAGTTTAGTTATAAATTTTATACTCATAAAGGTTTAAAAGGCTTATAGCAACCAGCACTTGTACTCCATGGGTTTTCCATTGTGTTTTCAATAAGTAAACATTAATTTCATGTATGTATATTCTGTATGTTTAGTTAATGTTTTTTTAATAAAAATATTAAAAACTTTTTAAGATGTTGATGACCATTAAATGCGTCATAAGAGGCAAAAAACTTCTTTTTTTTTATTTAACCCGTGTGTACTGTTGGGTCATTTTCATCCTGGGCTGATTTTGAGTCTTAATTTGGCTACAACTTTCTCTGTGTTTCAGCAAATGCAATAATTTTGCTGACAAATCTTTTTTTTGATGCATATTTTGGAAAAATGCTTACATTTTTAGCAATACACAGTAGGCAAATTGACCCCACTTGGGTTATATGTTGCTGCTGTTTTTGCCCTATTGACTTCCATTATAATACATTTTTTTGACTGCAAACCATGACAGCATATAATCATGCATTCTTGATTGTTTCTGGTTTTCCTTGTTACAATTAGTAATTTTTACTGTTGATCATCAGATGCAGTGCAAAAAAAGCTTAGTTTCTGTCTTCTGTGTGGAGTGTAGTGTGTGTGAGATAGAGACCTTTGCACACTGAGAAAATCAAAATGCAGCTTTCAGAACTCAGTAAATACAGTAAGTTTATTTCTGCACACACGCTATAATCTGCTGTTTTACTCTACTAAACTTCATATAAAAGCCAGAAACTAATTTACACAGGCCTATCTAAAGGGTTAATGCTGCCAACTGATGATCAACAATTTAAATTACACATTAGACCTCTTCCCAACAGGGAAAACCAACAACAATCAAAAATGCATGATTATATGCTGTCATGGCATTGCAATCAAAATGTGATTATAATGGAAGTCAATGGGGCAAAAATAGACACCAACTTAACCAAAAGAGGGTCAATTTAAACAACACACAGGAAATATAATTGTCCTCTGCTAAGTTGCTTTCATGTAACTCAAAGTGCTTCATATGTTCAGCTGTGTTTTCAGTCTGCTCCAGTGATGTCTCAGAATAAGGGATACAGCCGTTTTGACAATGCTGTGGATGGGGATGATCCTTCACCGCCACCACCGCCGGGTTTCGTGATGCCTCCTGCTTATGAAGCCGCTGTTCAGTACGGGCATGCAGATGCTACAGTCCCCGTGGCTGTTCCAGTCGGACCACCGTACGCTTTTGAAAGTCCTGCGTACGGACAGGGAGTATCCGGATACCCACAGCAGCCGTATCCAGTGGCCGCTCCATACAGCACAGATCCATACTCACAGCCGTTTCCCAACGGTAAGAGTACTGCTTCACACAGGTGGGCCTGACAAACCACCTGTAGACACACTCTGCTATCTCACTTCTATTCTAGCACCTAATTCTCTGAGCACTAATAATTCCTCTGTATAATCAGCTCTTATTGTGTGTATTGCCAATCGCTGAATGCCTTGTAAGTCACATTGGATTACGTTTAGAAGATAAAAAACTGATGTAAACATCTAAAACTTACAGTTTGTCACCTAAATGCAGGGTTCTTACGGATGCTGGAAATTCTGGACAATGCTTGATTTATAACATAGTGTTTTCACAGTTAGAAAAGTGCTTGGATTTTGGACCGAGTGCTTGAACCTGCTCGAATTTGAAATTGCAGGGCTCAAAATTGCGACCGTTTTGGTTGCATATGCAACTGTGACTTAATCTGTGCGCTGAAAATATATTTGGGAGCATTTCTGTGATTGCATAAATACTTGTTATGCGACCAGTTTTCATTGCAAAATGTTCACCGTATGTATATTTATGGAGCTAATAATATGCCAAAACAATCTGAATTTGAATTGTGCTAATTTGAATTATTAACAATTGTAAGTTAATAAAACTGATTATTAAATGTAATTTAAAAGTGTTTTGAATTTGAATTTCTAACTTGATTATTGAACATCTGAAATGTAAGACAACTGGATTTTTTTAAATTCAGATTATTAAAGACGTCATTTCAAACTTCAGTTTTTACTCTGAATTCATTCGCAGACTGCAGATATTGGGTTTGTAAAATTACAGTTTTTAAGTTTTCAAGATGAAGAAATTCAGAACGTCAAATTCAATATCCTAAAATTCAAAACCAGAAATTCAGATTGTGATATTCAGATCTCGTAGAAAGTAGGTCAGGGTTGATCAACAGGGAAGAGTTAGATGATCACCAAAAAGTCAAACTAAGCATTTTGGTCAATCACAGAGCTGCGTGAGTTTGCTGGCATTTGTTTCACTTCTATTTTTCTGCAAATTGACTATCGGAGGTCAGCTATTTTCAGTAGTTAACACACACATGCTTTAGGGAAATTCATATATTTAATTAAATTACATCTCATTGGTTAAGCAAACTTACTGAAGCTTTCAGTGTTTTGAGGGATAAAGAGCTGATTCTGACCTATACTGTAACCTTATACGTTAGTTAAGAAATTCAAAACATTTTTAAATGACATATAGTAATCAGTTTTATTAACTTACAATCGTTAATAATTCCAATTAACACAATTCAAATTCAGATTGTTTTGGCATATTATTAGCTCCATATGTATTTAGAAGACATACACCCAGAATGCATCTTTGCAACCAAAATGTCAATGATTGTATAAAAAAAGCTACGCACATGAAATCTCATGAACGACTGGTCATGAAAGTTTGGTACTTCACCCAAACAAAATCTGACTGTATGCTCATTTCTTTGAGAAATCAACTTAAGGTAAAGAGACCAAACTAAAAAGATACTTCATCCGATAACTGAACTTTTTTTTTCCAATTCTTTTTCATTAAATTTTAACATGTATATACACATTTCCATGTGTCAGATTTAACAAACCAACAAACAAATGAACAAACAAAACAAAACAAAAGTACTTTACATCAGAATACAATATCACCTCTGTTACTAATCTTCTTGTAAAACATTTCCAAATCCACCACCTTTTAAAAACAGCGTAAAATGTCCCCAAACTCTGTCAAAAATAATGTATTTATTTCTTATCATATAAGTAATTTTTTTCCATTGTCATGTTTGTTAGCGTCTCTTTCAGCCAACAGCTTATATTTGGTGCACATATACTTTTCTAATTTAAAGAAATAAGCCGTTTCGCTTGTTGAATGCATATATTCATAAATATATGCTCCGTCTTTTTTAACTAGATCTCCTTGGGATATAAATTAAATTAAAAGATTAATTTTAAAAATGTTTTTTTTTTTTTAAATTAAAGGAGAAAATTAAATTAACCTCAAGAATATTTTCAGATCTTTCCAAAAGTTCTGTATTCCTTTACATTCCCATATACAGTGATACAACGTTCCTTTATGGTCCCTGCATCTCAAGCAAGTATCTGGAATATTTTCATTATATTTATGCAATAAAACTGGAGTTATGTAAATCCTCGTCAATTATTTTTGTTGTAACAGTTTCAGATGAGTGTTCATTGTTAGTGATCGAGGTTCCTGTCTTCATCCAGTCCTCTGTAGAAATATCCTCCTTAAGATCTAATCTCCTATAACTGAACTTTTATTTATTTATTTGTTTTTGCCATTTTTGGGTGAACTATCCCTATAAATCTATCCTCTTAAGTATTAAAAAATTTAAGTTGAAATGTTATATTGTGTTTTTTTTAAATAGCACAATGGATTTAAATGTGAAAAAGTACATATAGCATATATAACGTAATTTACCATGGTTGTCAGGTGCTGGAAAAGCATAAAAATTCACCTTGAAAGTGCTGGAAAAGTGCTGAAATTGGAAGTTGTAAAAAGTGTAAGAACCCTATAAATGGATAAATGATTTTTTTTTTTAAGTCACCTCAAACTTCAAATCTTCTGACTAATCAAATGCCCTCTAGTGTCTAATTTATTGTTAATCTGAAACTAGTTTATGTAAATGTGTATTCCCAGATGTGTTAGCCCGTTATCAGTGAATGAGTGTGTTATGTTTGTATTTTAATATAGTGGTGGCGATGGGTGAACCGGGACAGAGCAACGATCCTCCAGAATATGACAGTGATCAGTTCACCAGCTCTGGACTGGACAATAAAGAGATCAGACGCGTGTTCATCCGAAAGGTAAACATTAGAGCTGTGCAATATGATAAAATGTACCGTATGGACAAAATCTAAGGTCTGGGGTTTCATATTATGCTCCATTGTTTATTATTATTGAATAATGGCATCCTTAGAAGCTTGCTCTCTTGAACAAGCATTCATTTAGCAATTTATTTTTAGAAAAATATACATTTTCAAAAGGAGAAATGTGTACTCATTTATGCTGAGCGCTGTATATTCTGTCAGATGATCTGAAGTGCTTCTTTTTTCCTCCCTTATAAGTTGCTTATGGATAACAGCGCCTGCTCAATGAGTCGATGCAAACCGCTCTCATCATAAAACACATCTTATTAAAATTCATTCAATTTCTCTTCGGCTTAGTCCCTTTATTAATCAGGGGTCGCCACAGCAGAATGAACCGCCAACTTATCCAGCATATGTTTTATGCAGTGGATGCCCTTCCAGCTGCAACCCATCACTGGGAAACATCCATACACTTATGCATTCACACACATACACGACGGACAATTTAGCTCACCCAATTCACCTGTACCACATGTCTTTTGGCTTGTGGGGGAAACCGGAGGAAACCCACGCGAACATGGCGAGAACATTGTAGTGGCTGGTTCTAATGGAAAGATTGGTGCCATGATTAACTAGAGACAACGAAAATATAAACGTGAACCTCTCCTATACTCTGAAATCCCCATACTTCAGAGTTCAACAGTATCTGAAGCAGTTAAGTGTAAGCGTAAAGCACGACGTGACCAGAAGAGGGCGCGGAAGGTTAGTGAATGGAGCGGGAGGGGGACGGTTCCTTTCCACAGCTCTTCTATGGAGACACTGCTCGCTGCAGAGCCATTTGGGCAGAGCTGAGCTCCAGCGAGGGGGAGCATGAGCTCTCGTTCCTCCTCCTATAAGCTGTTTTAATGCGTACACCCACCCCACCCCTAACCCTACCCCCAGTGACATCACTCGTAGAAGAAATGCATGAAAGGAGGAGCGAGAGCTGAAGCTCCCCCTCACTGGAGCTCAGCTCTGCCTAAATGGCTCTGCAGTGAGCACCACTTGCTTATATGTGCACTACCGCTGACCTCTTATCCCCCGAGTGCGTACGTCTCGCACAGCTGCAGCTGACTCTGGAGGCCGGTGACATTTCAAGTACACCCGAGGAGACCTACAAGGCCTTGTTGGTCAGATGTGCTGCTTGTCAAGGATACCTTGAGTGTTGATTAATGGCTTTTAAACTGTCAACTTAATGCATTGAAATGTTTATGGGTTGATTGATGTTCTAAGACAGGGTTTTTCAGAGTCTAAGACAGTGGGCCTCCCTTTTGACACAACTTATCCATTGGCGCACCCCTCCTCCTAAACACGCACGCACACACACACACAAAAAAAATTCTGGAGGTTTTCTTGCTATCTCATCATGCTTGGTTTCAAGGTGTCGCCGAAGTTTAGCGGGTCTCATGAATACCTCATGATATCTCAAAATATCTCGACAAACCACACATAAAGGTCGTGGTTCATCAGCTGGTCCTGTCCACGTAAATCCTAAACTCAAATACTGACCATCATATCATCGTCTTTTGGGTTCAAGCCCTGAACTTAAAGGCTTTGAATCAGGGGGTCTCAGAAACCGATCCATTGTATTAGCAGCATGATTAGCAGGCATATACCTGTATTGGCGGGCTTGCCAAACAGAAGCGAATTCACAGCTATGGCCTTCTGGGTAAAAAAGGTTTTCTTATTTTTGACGTATAATTTTTTTAGCTTTGTTTAATTAAAACGTTTAAAAATAATAAAAAATACATATAATAATTAAACTTAATAATGATATTTTTATTATATTATATTTTTTCCAGCGCCTCCCCTGACATGCTCTGGCGCCCCCCAGGGGTGGCGCGCCTCACACTTTGAAAACCCCTGTTCTGAGAAGTGCCTATGGAACAGCTATACATTTGTTCTCTATGACATGACCTATAAGTTTTGTTAATTACTGAAATTCTTAACTGAGTGGTCAGACCACACTATACAGTTGGTCCTTAGTGATTTATAGTTAGTCTTTCGATGTACTAGGCAAAACGCATCTCTGTGTGCGGATACTTGTGTTGCATGTGTCAAACCCTCACTGATATATGAGGTGAAGTTATGTGCATGACCTGATTTTGAGAGCTATATAAAAGCTGAGCCTTTTCTGACCAGCTTTGCGCTTCTTGACTTCTGTACATTGAGGTTGGTTGCCCTTTATCCTCAACGGAGGATCAAGTAAGGATTTTGTTTTCTGTTTGTCTTTTGTTTATTCTACTTTTTCACTGGATTTTATTTTATTAATTAAAGTGTATTCTATTACTTTTCTTCACTGGAGTGGACATTGACTTCATTTTCCAGAACCCATCTTAGTTATTCTGTGTGGTAAATTATGAATCTAATTTATTCTTTTGCAAAATACGTTCTATAAAGACGATCCTTTAACTAAACTCTAGCTAAGAAATATAGTGAAGGGAGGATCCTGATTTTATCTTTGTTTAATTAGGGTGATTAAATAAAGGCGAATCAGCACAACATGCAAACTCCACACAGAAACCCCAACTGACCCAGCTGAAGTTATGAACCAGCGCCACCGAGTCGCCTTTATTAGAATGTGAAATGCAAAAGCTTTTACACAAAATGTTTATACTCCAAACACTTTGCAGGGTTCGAAATTGCGACCGTTTTGGTCTAAAACATTTTATCTATGCGACTTCAAAATATATTTGGGAGCATTTTTGCGAGTGCATAAAATTTTTGCGTGCAATCGGTTTTCACTGCAAAATGTTCACCGCATGCACGGATTTAGGACACATTCATGCAGAATGCATCTTTGCATGGAAACGCAGCACTCAGGAACAGATTAAAACTGTTGCCATGTCAGCTTGCTGTAGTAAACAAACCCTGCAATGCTTGCCCCGCCTTTGCGCTCTTTTCATTGGCCCACTGTGCTAGAACTGAACGCGAATCGATTGGTTAAAATCAGCTCTCAATCACTCAGTCAACACCTTCTGCCTTCAGAGAACAGGAGAGCTACAACTGCGAAAATGTAAAGCGCTGAAGATGAGAATGACAACACTGTCAGATTTTATTTTAAAAATCACCTAAAGCTACAAATAATGGCACCGCTGATTACTGATCGTGGTGAAGTTCGCATTTCTGTGTGGAGTTTGCAAGTTCTCCCTGCATCTGCGTGGGTTTCCTCCGGGTGCTCCTGTTTCCCCCACAAGTTCAAAAACGTGGTACAGATGAATTGGGTAAGCTAAGTGTATGTGTGTGTAAGTGTGTGCGTGTGAATGAGTGTGTATGGATGTTTTCCGATGATGGGTTGCAGCTGGAAGGGTATCCGCTTTGTAAAACATATGCTGGATAAGTTGGCGGTTCATTCCGCTGTGGCGACCCCTGATTAATAAAGGGACTAAGTCAAAAAGAAAATAAAGGAATGATTGAACAAAGATTATATCAATTCTTTTTTATGTAAAGCTTTGTAATTTCTATTTATTTATTTTTTATTAATTCAGTATCATTTCTTACTGAAATCTGAACTTGTTATTGACATTTATATTGTATTTTTCTGTATTGATCTTTCCATGAAATTGCTGTGGGTTACTTATGTGGCAATAAGTAAATAAATAGACAAACAAACAAAAGATTAAATGTTATTTATCAATAAAATAACTATATATATAAACATAAGATACATATATGTTTTTTATGTAACGCTTTGTCATTTTTATTTATTCATATTTAATATTTATTTCTGTGTGTTTTGTCTGCAGGTCTTCAGTGTTTTGAGTCTTCAGCTGGCCATCACCACTGCGTTTGTGGCCATCTTCACCTTCGAGCCTCATGTAAAGCTGTTCGTGATGCAGAACTCCTGGACGTATTGGGTGGGATATCTGGTGTTCCTGGTGCCGTATTTCGTGATCCTCTGCTGCGGAGAGTTTCGTCGCAAACACCCCTGGAACCTCATCTGTTTGGTGAGTCTTTAGTGGGATGTTGGGGGTGTTCAGGGTTCATGTGAGTGCTGTAAGATCCTTGAAAATGCTTGAATTATAATTGAGTGTTTTTAAGATTTTGACTAAAGTGCTTGAAACTGCTTGAGAATGTAAATGTGTTGCTTTCATAATAATATGTTATTAAAATAGGTAATAATAAATAAATATTTAGTTGCTTTTGCATGAAATTAAAACTCTGGAGACTGTAGGATAATCTGCCTGTCTTTATTTACATTGAAGATGTGAATATATTACATTTAAGAGGGTTATTATTATTATTATTATAACCTTTATACCAGGAAAGACACATTGAGATTAAAAATCTGTTTTACAAAAGCGTCCTGGCCAAGATTAGGCATTTTACATGTCACATGGGTCTAACAGACAACAAACACTTAACAGTTAACATGATTCACACATTGACAAACTATTCAAAACATCTACAGGCCTGTGTTTCAATTCCTAAATCATTTATACCCTTTTTAAAAGCATTTAGTGAAATCAAATCATTAAACAATAACTTTGTTTGTAGGTTATTCCATCCAGGTTAAGTTGCTGAGTAAATAAAAGCCTTTTTCTCCATCCCAGTATTCACTTTAGGAACAGACGGTAAATAAATATCCTGTGACTGAAGGCTATAGTTAAGGACAGGCGTTTTACAAATGTAATTCTGTAGATATGATGGGAGTAAACCCAGTATAGATTTGTAAACAAGGATATGCCAATGCTTGAGCCTGAAAATAGACAAAGCAGACCAACCTACCCTAATATACAGCACATAATAGCCGTGTTTCCACTATCCCACTTAAAGCGAGCGAGCAAAGGCCAGTCGGGTTTCCACTGTCACTTCCAGGGCCTAATCGGGCCAAAGAGGGGCTTTCTTGGGGCTAGCGGCCGGCCTTTTTCGGCCCGTCGAATACTTTGGGCCAAAGAGGGCCATCTGGGGCCTCGGGATGGAGTGAAAGAAGATGCGGACACTAGTTTTCTGATCGCACACGAGTACATGCGCCAAACAAATAAACAAATAAGGTAAAGAAAACATCTAGCCTTACAGACTGGGGCCTTTATGCTTATGATCGCCCTTATGTTTTCCTTTTAAATGTAAGGCTGTTGCATAAAAAAATAAACTTTTAACTTATAAGTGACTTTTCTTTGCTGCGTCCTCCTCGATGTTTCAATAACGCATAATAATCTTCACACCCTATTAAAGACACAGCAGACAGTTGAGGTTTTCAAGAGTTTTTGTCAAGTTTAAAAGGTGTGTTTGTGCACGTTTAGATGCCTGCATGTGTGTGTGAGACTGAGTAAAAGAGTGCTCCCTTCACAGCTCTGTTGATGCCGCGAGTGGCTTTTTTCTTTTCGAAATTTATTTCGGAGATAATACACAATATGAATACAACAGAAAGACATACAACTTAACGAATTACGTGTCCACTTTTGCAGACTCAAAACAATAGTGTCATATCTTGATAAAATAGCCTAAGCTATATTGAAATCATTTAAAGAATTACAAACATCAGATTTAATAAAATCACATTAAATAAATAAACCAATATAAAACTAACTAAGCTAGCGATAACAATTTAGCTTACATTACATAAATCAAACCGTTTTTAAGCCATATATAACTTTCATTTTACAAAGGCCTGTCTGAAAAAAAGATTTGAGATATTTTCTAAAAACAATAAACACCGGAGGAGGTGAAATATTATTTATAAAGTATTTGGATACGATGATATTAATCAAAACATGCAAACAGCATATTTTAAATGAGTGAAAGCAGAAACTAGGCGACCTTTTTTTCTGTCATTTAGTCCTGCGCGCAGGGCCTCTTTAGAAACACATCTGGGAAAACTACAAGTAAAAAATGTGTTTTATATCTTCAATTAAATGTCTATGTTTTTAATATGACATGGAAAAAGTTTAAAATTACATTTTAAATACATGAAGAGCTTTATTAGTGAAGAGCTGCTGAGCGCAATGAAATATAGGCTCTATTTTATTACTTGCTCTTATGTGCTGAAATACTTAACATGTTCCTTTACTAGAGATCACAGAATAATGTGCAACAGCCTTAAATAAAGGGGAATCACCTATTAGTGTCATAAAGCCTATAGGGAAAATTTAGTATGTTTCAGATCTCTACAGAGCATTTAGGCTGAATACGTCTATCAAAACGAGGATGTAATAAAATACATTTTCCACTGAGTTATTAACGGAGAATTTCTGGTTTTATATTATGGATGGTGCGCTCACTGCACTGGGTCTCTCCGTTACTGGCGAGACCACTCGATGCACGATGCCAACAGTCGGTCGGCGAGTAAATGAATATGACGGATGAGAACACACAGGCCTGTGCGTATACACATATCATGTACTGCTGTACAGTAATGTGTCATTTGTTTGGGTTGTCTTCATTTTAATGGTTTCCTGGTGATGTGATGGTGTGCTTTATCTGCTGATTCCCACTGAAGTTGGCGGGTTGTGGAAACGAGACATAATTTCGGCCTCACTGCTCAACCTCCCGGCCCGGCCCGATAAAAGCCCTGGTGCGCACTGGCCCGACAGTGGAAATGCGGCTAATGATGAGTAGATCTTAATGATGATCTTAGTGCACTATGGTTCCCCTTCGGTTAGGGAACTTCAGTGCCATGAATGGGAGGATTCGGATCAGAAGCCGCTTATCTGTAGAGTATTGAACGGGCCAATGAATGAAATTAATTGGCAGCGTAAGCTTGCGCAGGTGTGCGACATCTGCAATCATCTCAGCATATAAGCACACCTGAAGCCAGCAGACGCCATCCTTTTCGCTTCAGATCCTTTCTGAGTGAGTCGATGAGGGTTCCTCTTGCTGATCAGCACTTCAGAGCGAACGAGTGTGTCTCCCGGTCCAGAGTGGGTCTTCGCGGTGGCAGACGGTCGAGCTGGGTTACTCCCTTGCCTGCGGTTCTTTGGGTCCGGTCCTCCAGAGCGGTGCGTATAGTTGCAACTTTCCTAAAAGAGCAACACAGTCGTGCAGCACGTCCTTTTCAGGATGGCGCTCCGACTGTGCGTTTCTGGATGCGGGGGTTTCCTGTCTCCGGATGATGGACACGATCACTGCATTGCATGTTTGGGGGTCCAGCATGTTAATGCGGTGCTCGCGGGCGGTTCATGTCGTCATTGCGATGCCATGACCGTTGCACAGCTAAGATCGCGGCTAACTTTCGCAAGAGAGCGAGCCACCCCAGTTGCCTCCTGTTCTAAAAAAGCAGCGGGCGCTCGGGCAGATCTGAGGGTTTCAGCGGGAGCTAATCCGCCGCCCACGGGCTCGCGGACCTCTCGCTCCTCACGGCGCTCCATCCAAGCTTCGGGTGGTGAGAGTGATCCGTCTAACCAGATGGTAGCTCTCACACTCGCTGACACCGGAGATCAGATGTCCTCCGCGGCATCGGAGGGTGGGCTTTCACTGTCCGACGAAGATCCGGACCCGCTCGCCCCCTCCGGGCAGGTGAGCGCTGTCAAATCGGATCCTGAAGCGGACATGTTAGCCGTGCTTTCCCGGGCTGCTTCGGCCGTGGGGTTGGAGATGGTTTATCCCCCAGCTCCGCGGCCGGACCGACTAGATGGGTGCTACGTAGAGGACCAGAAGGCGAAGCCTTCGAAGCCTCTCGTCCCCTTCTTCCCGGAAGTGCACAGTAGGCTCACGCAGTCCTGGAGGGCACCTTTCTCTGCCCGTGCTGCGAGTGCCTCCGCCCTCACCGCCCTTGACGGCGGAGCTGCCAGGGGGTATGAGGCGATCCCGTCAGTGGAGCGCGCTATCGCGGTCAATCTTTGTCCGCGCGGCGCCTCTACGTGGCGGGGTTTGCCCCGCCTCCCGTCCAAAGCCTGTAGGTTGTCTGCCTCCCTCGGAGCCAGAGCTTATAAGGCTGCGGGCCAGGCTGCTTCTGCTTTGCACGCGATGGCCACCTACCAGCGCTACCAAGCGCAGGCGCTGGCCGAGCTGCACGAGGGCGGGTCCAACCCAAGCTTATTACATGAGCTGCGCACCGCGACCGACTATGCTCTTCGGACTACTAAGTCCGCCGCGTGTGCGCTGGGGAGGACGATGTCCACACTTGTGGTTCAGGAACGCCACCTCTGGCTAAACCTGGCCGATATGCGCGACGTTGACAAAGTTCGCTTTCTTGACTCGCCCATATCCCAGGCTGGCCTGTTCGGCGACACCGTCGGTGAATTCACCCAGGAATTCAAGGCGGTGAAAGAGCAGTCGGATGCGATGGGCAATGTCATCTATCGGCGTGGCCGTAAGCCCGCTCCGCCCGCCGAGCCATCCACCTCCGCTGTTCCTCGCCGAGGGCGCCCGCCAACGAGTGCTGCCCCGCCCCCGCCTGCGCCTCCGGCCAAGCGGGCGCGGCGTTCACCTCGAAAGCAGGCAGCCCCTCCTGCCCAGGGCGCCGTTAAGTCCGGTAAACGGACCGCGAAGCGTCCCTGAGACAGGCCATCCGGAGAAGAGGAAACTTGCTCTTTCCCCGCTGGAGGGCGGGGCCCCGATAACAACGGTACTTTTCAGTGCCACCAAAACATCAGTAAAAGAGCACTTTTTCCCTTCCCCGGATGTGACTGCACGAGTTCTGCCAGTCCGGGACGCGCTGCCTTCCGGCTCGCAGACTCTACGTGCTTCGCCAGTGGCTCACGAGCGCTGGGGGGACGGTCTCCCTTCCCTCAGCCCTCCAGCCCCCTCTCCGGAGTCAGGGTGCGGAGCCAGAGCGAATCGCTCTCCTCCAGCTTTTCCGCGGGACCCTCGTGCTTCCCGGATCAGCACACCCACTCCGCGCTGCCCCACCGCTGGTACGTCAGCGATTGTAGCGATGACTCCATTAGCGAGGGCTCTGCCTGCCTGGTTAGCGCGGGCCAGCCCCTCGCGGTGGCTCATACGCACAATCAGACTCGGTTACGCGATTCAGTTCGCGAAACGGCCCCCCAAGTTTACGGGCGTGTAT